GAATGAAGTGGGCAGTTAGTTAGTAGCGACGAGCCAACAAGTTGACAGTTTAGTATAAAAATAGATCACTGCAAGTGCTATCGTTGCGATAATTATATCTTGCTATCGATCAATAACTATATTCCTCGCTCATTCTACATATACATATGTATATGGGTAGAATTTACTTCCCTCAGTTAAATACGTGTTTGTACTTATGTAATTTATTCATATGCGTATGTAAATGCATATATACATATGTTCATATATTTATTGTGCATTCATTGCATTTGCCGCCCAAGCAATTTATGTACACGCGCTCGAACGCCCAACCATACATTTCGTTGTTCACGTGTAAGCAACAACAACTTAACAACAAATCATAAAACCATCATTTACTTGACCTTTGCAGAATTTTTCCTGTTTTTTTACTATATTTAATTTATTGCATTATCACATGTACTCATTCTCGTATACACAAACACACATATATTTATATATATCTTTTTTTTAGAGACATTCAAGCGATAATTTGTCGTAACCGGTTAGATCAGACCATATCACCGATTTTTCAAATTTGAGAATTCGGTTCATAAATTTAAAGTGAAAAAATCATCTAATCCTAAAATGAAATACAATAAATTTGAAGTGGCCATGAAAGATATAAAGCCTAAGGAATGGCCGAAGACAACACTTGTTCTTTTTTTTATGTTAATCAAATCAGAACTCTGCCAATGCGGCCGCAATCAAACTGAAAAGAATTCAACATATTTCAGAATGAAATTTCAATTAATTTCAATTCTTTCAATTATTTTTAAGCACTTATTGCGTTTTTTTTTTTCAAATTCCAAAATTAACTACCAACGTATTCATGTAACGGAACCACTTATGATAAAGCACATTTTGAGCCGACCTAAGTTAACTAGTCCACTACTAGTGCATTTAAGAGTAAAGTACAGTGTTTTTGTTGGGCATAGATATAAAGAAATTCATTTCAATGTAATATAATCGACTCCCCCAACTGTTTAATTGTGGAATATAATACATTTAATATAATCCAATTTGCTTATGTTGAGAAATTTTGCTTGATAAAGCGTAAGCGGCTGTGAGCTTTAACTCAGCGGGTAAACTGAAAGTAAGGAAGTAAGTCTGCTATCATAAGCCAATAAATATAATTTTGTATTTCGATCACAAATAATCACAAGAGTAGTAGGGTTTGATGACCCTTCTCTAATATAAATATTTAACCTTTAATAAATGATTAGTGAGCGTTTACGATTGCCAATAACAATAAATGTGAAAACAGTTTGCCTTTTGTACACGTGTTGTGTAACAGTACATATGTACGAGTATATGGATATTATTAAAATAAGTTTTAAAAATATTTATTTAATTACTATTCGCATTGTAGCGCTTTCACCTTTACAAGGTCAGTCTGCTGAGAAGAGAAAAACTTTAAATAAAATAATTCATATTTTATATTAAATGTAAAACTTATACACGCGGTACTGCACGCCTTAGTCAGCAGATAGTCTCTTGAAGAACTCGAATAAATTACGTTGTTCTTTTGTTAGTTACGATAGGGACAGATGGGCTAAGGTACGCAGATAAGGATCTTGCATTACCTTTTAGATGGCTCCAATAGAGGCGAGAGAGTAGGGCTGTGATTTACTGCGGCCAAATAGTCGTCATTACATATTAAAGCTTAGTGCGTAGGCTTCCGAAAATAATGGTTTTCCGGGAAAAAGTCAAATTTATTATTGAATCACTCGATTAGATGAAATTTAGAACTTAATCAAATGTATGCCAAAATTATAATTGGAAATATTTTTACTTCAGGCAAGTGAACCTGGGATCAATCTATACGGAATGATCGTATTTATTTATTTGATTGATTTGCTTGGTTTCTGGAACATAATAGCTCTTTGCTTAGGTTAATATGAGGAAAACTTCTCTTTCAAGGAAATGGATCTGAAACCAATCTATTAAAAAATCACATTTGTGATTTGCAACATCGATAGTAGTTCTTCGCCTAGGTTGTGGACCTCGGACCGAGGAAAAGAAATAGCTCTTTGCTTTTTTCTTCAGGAAGTGCAGTTGAGACCGTTCTATTTGATTTGCTTGCTATTTGATAACTCTCTTCGTAGGCCCACACAGTGGTCAGGTGTCTGAATATTATTCACAAATATATTCAGCAATTATATTTTATCAATCAACAGAAGAAATGCTGAGCTTCGTTTCCATGAAATAAATCAGAATTTCATTTTATTTTCAATAATTACACTGTAATAAAGATTGTAATAAAACATAATAATATATATGCATTGTATTTCATAAAAATATCGCGAAAATTTAGTAGTTGACAGAAAATTGGTTTTAGCAGTTGACCAGAGGAACCTAAACCTCAAAATTTCATGGGAAAACATTGAACTAGAGTTGAATATGTTGGAAAAAAAAAAACAAATCATATAATTTTGAACACTGACCTATAATTAAAAGTCGCAGTGTCATCAATCCACCTGGCATTCGCCCCGCTCTCGTCATTCGGTTTTATGTTCGATGAAATTAATTTGATAAATAAAAGATGTGAAAGCGATTCATAAGCCATTGATGAACAAAACTATTCTCAATAATATGAATTATTATGAATATGAAAAAAAGTAAAACGAATAATATATTTTCACAATCTCATTTTCCGTGGGACACGCTATGCATATGACTTACAATGACATGCAGGTATGTAAATACAGACTTCTGATGAATTTATCTCATTTCCTTCTGATACTTGCGTACTCCAATTGCATGAAATGTATAAATATAGATAATTAATTTTTCTAATTGTGGACGTCCGCTAGCCATGAAATGTTATGCCCTTCCAAGTGTATTTCTGACAAGAAATAAAACCTCCTCTTAAAAATGTATCGGATGTTCGGAGGCGGCTTAGAATAAACTGCAGTTCACTCTATTTATTGGAAAAACAACGAGACACAAAACAAAAATTGGACGAGGACTCAGTCGAAAATCGCTTCCATAGTTTTCCAAAGTCGCATTCAAAATATCAAGGCGTCATTTTCGATTGCTTGCCAAAAATTCCCAAAAATATTAATACAATTGATGCTATCGGTATTATAATTATAAGCCAACGCCCTATCAAATGTAAATGTTTGCACTCACTCGTGCCTTTATCTGTATAAAATATATACATTTAGATATCTTTACACATTTAGATACACTATATTTACACTTCTGAGTATTCACATTATATTCGGATAATATGCACATGTGCATTTCTCCATATTTACATACATATATGGTACATACACGCATTGCCTCATTAAAAACGAGACTATTTCAAAGTAACTCCATCCATACATACATACATTCGAAAAGTCTTGTCTACACCGGTAAGCAGTTAAAAAGCTTATGATGATGGAATTGTGGCAGCCCAGTGCCAAATTAAGAAAGATACCTTCGCCGGTCCGAAGTATTCGTATAGTCAATGTTAGTTTCTCTCTATGATTCGGAGGCAATGTTTGGAAACCTCGTCGTATAAAGTCCAATAACCGTAATTCGACGGTGTTGCTCGTCTCATCGATTCAACTTGATAAACGGTGTTTGGTCACAAATATAATTTTCTCATCAACTATCGTGAATACTACTCACTTCGCTGGGTCCGCGCGAATTGCAACACATCTTGGTTTGTAAGTGAAGAAAAGACGAGCATCATTTTAAAATGAAAGACACAAATTAATTCAAAATATCGCCCAGAACTATCTAACTGATCGTACGAGACGTTGGAACGAAACATAAGGATGCTACTTTAAATAAATCGACTAATTATCGCAAAGAGAATATCTGTTTTTCAATAATCTCGTTTTTCAATGGACACCCCATTTACATTGTGTTTCTTTGTTGACTTTTATTGACCATTTTGTTTACATATTTTTCCATAAGCTTAGCGAATTGCTCAGTAAACAATCATTTGTTGTTACAATACCTTCCATTCAAATATTACATATATGTATGAACCTAAATTCATATACATACATACATACATACATACACATGTATATATGTAAATTTGCTTATATGGTTATATTAGATATCTCCTGCTCTATCAACGATTAATATTTATAATTACAATATGCAAATATTAGTGAATTATCGTGTCTGAAATCGTTTGAGCCAAAGCGGGAAGCGAGAAGGAACAGCTAACTGTCAGTTTTGTTGAGCTTATGCCAATTGCCTTGACTTTTCTGCCAACATGGATAACTTTGGCATGTCAAGTGACAAATAATCTCTTGAGGTGGGCTAAGGTGAATATCAGATAATGAGATTATACGAGTATAAACTAAATAAGATATTATGAAATCTTCATTTTAGACTGCATAAAGATTTTATAGCAGAGTAAACCCTTCAGTCTTCAAAATATAGTTGATTGCTTGTTGTTCTTAAATTTCCAATTTTAACACAAAAAAGTCGACTAAAATACATTAAAAGTCATCTAATTTCGTCGGCTATTTCCTCTACAAATTTTTGATTGCAGTAAAAGTTTTTTCCAAGTACTATCGCCTGTTCCTGTCAATCTGTTCTTTTTCATTTTCATTGGCATCAGCTCCGCTTAATCGATTATAGTGGAGCCCCCACCACCATTCGTTCCCTCTCTTCGCGATTTGTTCTCCAGGTCTCTTTCCATCTGATCCTTCCAACGGAGTGGAAGTCTTCCTCTTCCTCTACCTTCACCAGCGGGTACTGCATCGAACACTTTCAAAGCTGGAGCGCTTTCATTCATTCGTACGACCTAGGCTCACCCCAGCCGCTCTATTCGCTGAACTATATCAATGTCACTGTATAACTCGGAACAGCGGTATTCACCGTTGCCCATACGCACAAATAAAATCAATAAATTAAAATATGGAAAATTAATGCAGTGAAATGTTTATTGAAAATGCTATTTCTACAGTTTTGCATTGTTCTTTTGTACTCGAAATAATAAATATTTTAAACTCATTTCCTTTCAGATAAGCTTTCCGGTGCAAAAATATGAGGTTTTGAAAAAAGACACATAAAGTGATTGCAAATGGAAACCTGGTAAAAGACTGATTGATTGGAGTATTTAGAAGTGCTCAACTAAGAACGGGAGACTGGTCCAACACTGCTAGATAACCACCGAAAAACTTAGAAAAAGGAACACCAAAAAAATATATGTACACGTATTTGAAAATCGCCGTGCAACGGTTGTGACCAGTTTCTCACCACATTGCAACAAAGTGAAAATCAAAGCAAAGCAACCAAAGACTTTCATAAGGAATTAACCAAAGCTCAAAATCAAAGGAGTGAAAATGTCTTCGCGTTTAAAAGAGAAAGTCTCCGCTGCCATACGGAAATTCAACAAAAGTCGAAGTCGCAGTGGTAGCGGCGACAAAGCTGGCGACGCTGGTGGTGGTGGCGCTACTAGTGCGAATAATGCCAACAGTAATGCGGGAGGCAATGTGTTGGTGAAGAATTCAAATGAAGTAGTGGCAGCTGAATCACCTGGCAAACGCATGCGACGGCAGGATAACAAGTATGTTCTTGGCGTTCTTGGAACTGCGTAAACTGAAACTCTAAATTTTTTTTTTCACAGAGTCTCACCAGCCACAAGTCGAATGGTTATGCCGGTAAATGTTCAACATGCACCCGATCATAGTATTCGAGCAAGACGATTAATGAAAGAATACAAGGAGATACAGAAAGTGCATAACGGTCAAAAGGATCCAGTCTTCACGGTAAATACATTTGAAATTTATGTTTAGTTCATATGATGAGAAATTAAAAACGAAAGTATGTAACAAGTTCGACTCATGAGTAAATTTTTCTTTCACAGGTGGAGCTTATCAATGATAATTTGTATGAGTGGTATGCAAGATTGCATATCGTCGATCCAGATTCAAAATTAGCGAAAGACATGACCGAAATGAACATTCCATTCATACTCCTGCACTTGGTATTTCCCGACAACTTTCCATTTGCCCCGCCGTTTATGCGTGTTGTAGAGCCGCGAATCGAGAAGGGTTTCGTAATGGAGGGCGGCGCAATTTGCATGGAGCTACTAACGCCACGTGGCTGGGCATCAGCGTACACCGTAGAAGCGGTTTTAATGCAGTTTGCGGCGAGCTTAGTCAAAGGGCAGGGGCGTATTGTGCGGAAAACGAAGAGTTCAAAGGAATTCAGCAGGTACTCATTGAAGAGATAGACGAATTCAGTTTGCTAATTGCATATAAAATATTGATTTTTTATTTTCTCTTTGCAGGCGCACCGCCGAGGAAGCGTTCCGATCGTTAGTAAAAACCCATGAAAAATATGGCTGGGTAACACCGGCGCTCTCCGACGGCTGAATCGAAACGCTCATTCATACAACATACAACATCTGTATACACTCGAAACACTAGTATTAAAACAAAGCTGGTACTGATGATGATTGAAAACAAATATAAAAAAAGTAATTTTTGTGAAATTCTGGTCATATTATACCGACCAAAATTCTCTTTACTCATAATTAAGTTTATTAATTAGATACAATACATGTGTGTATGTTGCTAACACAATAGAAATTATAATATATTGTATAATAATAAGTAATGTTTGCAAGAAATTTGCTGTATTTTTCTTTAAAAATGCTGCCACAATAAGATAAATTTGTTTGTGCGTATATGTATTGGTATGTGTTCTCGTATTTGCATTTGTAATAATTTAATATGTATATATGTATGCATGTACGTGTACTTATGCAAGTACGTCATTCAAAAACTATGGGAACATTAAAATTACGTTTGCATCTACTTGTTTCTATGTAATATATTATATATAAATGATAAATAAAATCTCCAATTTTTATTTCATTATTGCTTACGAAAAGTGTGGAGTTAGATTAAGATTTTTATAAGACACCAAATAACAAAAGAAAATATACACAAATGATAAATTTGATTAACTCATCAATTCGCGAAATCGCAAGTCAACCGAAAACCATCCAGCAAGAACCTACAAATGATATAAAATCTAAGAAGAAAAATTAAAGAATTGATCTACAACCAGAAATATATGTATTTATGTACTTTGTGGAAATAAATAATTTTTAATACGTCATATTTACATTTCAGCAATAACTTTGAAGTACTCTTGCAAAAAATGTTTCAATTTGGTTTCTTTTTTTTTATTAAAAAGTATAGCGTCGTGCCGTGACGTGCATTTGCCGAGTAAAGATTTTTATTTGCTAAAAAATACGTATAGCGTAAGGTAAAAATATAAATATATACAAAATACCATAAAACACACCGTTAAAATCTCCTTTCCATCTATTCATAGCAACTTTACTATATCCTAACGCAAAATCTAAATCCAATTAAATTTCATTGGCATCTAAAAATGCAAATTTTTGTATTTGCAAATGTACAAAATGCATAAAAAATATAATTTAAAGTTTTAAATTTGTAATCAAAGTACATTTCAATCTAGACATCACTATAGATAGGACACTGTAAAATGATAAACATTTTTTCAGCGAACCGCTGAACAGAAACTAGGAAACTGGAAACTGGTAGGCTGCTCATAAAAACTATTTATCGTTTAAAATATTTAGTTAAATTAAATATTTAAAAGGATATTATTAACGCAATTACAATATATTGATGAAGCAAACTGTGTTAAAAAATTTGAAAAGTATATTTTTGTGATTATATAGAAACTGAGTTTTAATACCAAAATATAACCTTGTATTGACGTATATTTAGAATAGTTCATTTACCTTGGTTTCAAAGACTATTAGTATGTAATCATTTATTAATTATAAACACTTTTCAAAACACGTGAACAAAATGAAATTAAGCGCAAAGCCTTCGGTAGTAAGCGGATTATCAAAAGTAATTGATCTGGTCTTGCTGCTAAGTTTTAATATTTCAAGCATAAGAAGGTTTATATCCACCATTATTCTATGTATTGTATATTATATACATCAAGTTAAGATTATTTCCAGTTTTTTCTTTTATTCTTATGGGATTCAATAAAAACAAATCAAAATTCTGATTTTCAAAGATGTATAAATATGTATTTTTTATAAAATAGTTCTTACAACGGTATTATATTTTTCATTTCCCACACAGAAAGCAATGATCAGTATTGTGCGCATTTGGAGTCACATTGAAATAGAATTGCATACGTTCGATTATACATACATTCTAATGTGAAATAATACCTAATAAACCTCTATGTGTAATAAATAAAAAATATAGCATGTTGTTGTTTCTTTTTAAATTGAGGGTTCTTTTACTATCTTTCAACGTTCCGAAAGTCTGTTTGCCGTAGTAAAGCCCGAAGGAATTCCGAAAATTATAAAGTGAGAAGTTCTCGCATCTTCTGTCTTAACATCTTAAGAAGTATAATATTAGAATAAAGATTCGAAAATATCTTTCGAAATAGCTGAAAAAAGTGAAGAAGCGTTTAAGAAAAAGACATATTTCAAGGCTGTGCGAATATTACAGGGGTCACAAAAGCAGTTTCTGAGCAGCCACGCCCATTTCGAGCATTTGTTTTTTCATAGCTGAAGTTTTGATGTTTTCCCTTCAAGAGGAAAGAACTACGGTTAAGATTTTTTTTATGTGAAGGGGAGGGTGATTTCATTTGAATTTTCTGTCGCAATGATAAGGTACGAAATGAGTTGTTAGGCTTTTGTTCTTGTAACTGCAAAAGCACTCTCAAATCGATTTCCAGGAATGTGAACGAGTGACAGTCCTCTAATATGTATCAGGTATCCCAATTGTCACTGCTGTCCGATGTAGACTGCACTAAAACTGAACAAAATGGCATGAAGGTGATTTAAATTTTTTAGTTACAACAATAATTAAAAAAAAAAAATCTAAAATATACGTACATTAAGATGGAAGGTAGGCCTCTTTGTGGTTAGAGTTAAAAAAGTCAAGCAAACATATTTACACACATATGCCTGCATTTGCAATCGAAACGACAATTTAAAACTGCTGAATACACTAAACAAGATTCGAACGGAACCAACACCAATATTTGACAGTCACTGTATTGTAAAAGTTTGTGAGCAACTGAAATAAGATGCAGAGATGTCAGCAGTCAGAGAATTTTCGCAGTTTTCTAAGGCAAAATACCAATTAAATCGTACAAATTTTCAATGAATAATAGTGAATAAACAATTTTTGGATATTAAGTGACCCATTGTAGCACTTTTTTTGAAAATAGCAATTCGTTTGCTAAGTGAAAATTGCTTGTGAAAATCCTACTGTTGAAGAATTGTACGTACTTAGTAGGGTGCAGTTTATACGAAATCGCAAGCAGACCGTGGAGAAAGGATAACATTTTGAAGGTAAATATCTTTTTTAAATGCATAGCTTTTTCTAAGAAACTAAAAGTGGTATGTAATTTAATGTTCGTGGTTACTGAAAATGGAACAATTCATTAAAATTCAGGTAGATTTTAGAATATATTAATACTTAAAAATGGTGCTCGCTGCACGAAATCAATTGCTATTCGTCAATCAGAACGAGAATGCCACCTTTTTACAGAGGGAGAAATAATACCCACAATTCACCCAACAGTAGCAAACATTCATGATATCTGTAAAATATTAAAATTATTATTACAAGATTGATAGTTGAATAGTAAGTTGTTTGTGAGCTGAGAAAATAGATGGCTGTTGCGCATTAGATTATTAAAGAAAAATCAAATATTACTAATAACAGTAATGTCCAATTTCTTTTCAAAGAAACATTTCGATCTTGTAATTCTGTGCTTCTAATTTATACTTAATTGTCCACGTTCGGGAAAACAACTTGCGACGAGATAACACAATTTGACCATTGGAATGTGAACTGTTACATTTTTTTGGAACAAATTTTACTCGGGAAGACTTTGCTTAGAATTACATATCACTAAGGCAATAATCTAATTGATTTAATTAAAAAACGGAATATCCATTTGTTCTGTATATGTAACTACAACGATTTGTGATTAATAAAGATTTGATCTGTTTGATAGATGCGAAGTGAAATCAAAAAGCTTATTTCAGACATTGGCTCAAATTTTTTGTGAAACTCTGTAGGAATTTAGAATTAAAAGCGTATTTCACAGGTCTGTTATAATTCCTGTTGTTAGGATTCTTGCAGATGTTGCATTTAAACTTATTCAGGGATACGAATTTCTTTTAATTCCATTAGCACGATAGGTGTAAGTTCTGTCTGCTATAGCGTCTTTCAACACAGACTTTTTTCAACCGCAAAAGTCATCTGTTTAAAAAGATAAAATTCCGTTTTTTTTTTGTTATAAAATATCTGGCAGCACCCCCGATATCGCAACTGTGCGAACGAGAAGCGAGCTGTTGGTTTGTATTTAACAGCTCAGCAGGTTGCGAACCTCTCGATTGGCCTGCCCGTATGTCTACACGCCTCTGGGCTATTTAATATTGTGACAAGTGCCCGGTCATTCGTAGTCCCAGAAATAATAACAAATGTGCTTTTGTTAAATAGTCTCGCAGAGAACCACGGTGAGGATTAATCAAAAGAGAGCATAAGCGTGTCGAACACTAAATCTGATCTAAATAAAACACAAAAAACCAACAATGGACGTAGGAGAAGATGTCCACACTGCTGAGGGTTCACCACAAGCTATATGCGATGAACCATGTAAAATTTCTACAGATACAACAACCAAGGATGTCCCTAATTCGGGACATAGTACGGAAACAACCACGCCAACTTTAACAATTCAACTAAATAATAACAAAACTCTAAAACGTTGCTTGAGTGTTCCCATTTTACGTGCTGGTCCTTCTTCAACATCAATGACAACACGTTCAGCAGCTGCAGCAATGGCAATGCGTAATACGGGAAATGGCGGAAATTCCGTTGGTGGAAATGGCAACGCCAGAGAAGCCTCTTTATCAACACCGAAGAAGAATCAAGGACTTGTAATTCGGGACTCAATGTGTGATATATCAACAGGCAACAATTTTGGACATAACATACATATTGGAATACCACGTTCGAATCCTTCATCCAGGTAGTAAAAATTATATATCATATAAAAGTATATAACTAAGTTATATTGAAAATTCTAGGGAAGTCTCACCTGCACCAGTCTTTAACATATTTGCTCCACGTGCCCGACGTTATTCGGCTAGTTATACCCCACATGGAGCAGCTAATGCTATTGGCACCTCAAATACATTAAGCGGTTTACCCCTTTGTCTAACGCCTCGAGTTTCCCAGTTGAGACAGGAAGAGTGTGTAGACATGTTAAACACTCGTGAAGCGAATCATGAACGTGAACTACACAGTGCCATGCAAATGTCCCAAAGCTGGGAAGATTTAACTTTAGTAGCAGAAAACTGGTCCTGTAAATCAGAAGAACTAACTAATCCCTTACAGGTCTCGTTGCCATGTGGTGTTACGAGTTGTTCCAGTCCAAGTCCAACAAAGTATTAAGCTAAAATTTGTTTTATTACTTTGGTAAATCATATAGAATAATTTATTTGCAGCAATCGTGCCGGCATGCGGCTACCATACGGTTTGTCACCATCACCAACAAGACGAACCTTTGCCACCAGACGGTCTATGTCTCCAATTGCTATGCGACCTTCACAACTAGGGCCGGTTAAGCGTAAATTTGAATTGGACGATAGTGCCTCTGGCAGTAATTGGAATATATATTCGCAGCCACCGTTGAAAAAAATATTTACCGAGAGGTAAAATTTCATAAATTAAAAAATCGAGTTTTCTGTATATATTTTAAATTCCTGTTTTTAGCCGAGGCTCTTCTCCGGTTTGTCAATCTCCATCTTCCATCTGCCCCAGCCCTGATTCCGGTACCTATGATGGACGAATAACACCAAAGCTTTTCATTTCAAAACTCTGCACCAGTAACGCAAATAACAACAATTCAGCCTGTTCGTCACCAAGTGGCAGTGTTAGTGGAGGACTTATTGATTCAACAACTACCTCTGGCATTTGCTCATCTGCCTCTTCAACAACATCCTCAGTATCTGGCGGCAGTGAACCGATGTGTATCGGTAATGGATCAATCGATGAGGCTATTTCAGTAAATTCAGCAGCAAATTCGACAAGCAGCGCTGCAAGAGGTGGAGGGCAACCGATGGCTACCGATTTGCAAGACGACGCTACGCTATTGGATGATATGAAGAGTGAAACATCTTCTATTGGGGGATGTTCGAGTATCAGCATCGAGTCTTCTTCCTGCGATAGCGCCTCCAAAGCAGCTGCAAGCTTCCTTAATAGACTGAATGTGGATGATATTAGTACAAGTCCGTTGGCGGTACAGAAAAGCTTTTATATAAACAAACAAGGTTTAACTGGCAGTAAGAAGTATATTGTAAGTAGTGTAAGTAGTGATCCCATCGAAAGTATTAACATAACTAGCACTAGTGGTAATTCTAGCACCACTACTGTGAACGCATCGGAAATTATATCGACAGCGTGCACAGGTGGGTCGTAAATATGATAGTCCTTGTTTCACTTCCTTGTATACTAAGAATATCAGGGGGAGATACACATAAAAAACGGTAAAACTTTTTGTTTAATATTTAAAACTCTTTACAAATGCTTAATTCATGTTAAAGTTCTGAATTATGCCGATATATTTATTACCAATATTCATAATAAAATTTTTAGTTATTCAAAAAGGCCTCAGATCCTTCTTTTGGAAAAGAGGGAAAGCATAGACCACGGTTATAGTTAAAAGTATCTCCCTTTTATATATGAAAGTATAGACATTTTGTTCGTTGCCCTTGATATTAAAAAAATGTTGTCTGCAAAAAATAGGATTAGAAGAAAAAATTGCAAAATTCGTTTTAAGTTTGCATTAAAATATTGTAATATTCTCTCGCCATGATATATTGTTATCAACTCATTTTTGTAGAGTTTAGTTATCCCCTCGTATTCATATATATCCATACGTTAATATATTTCATTATCATTGTTAATTTACTGTAGTTATTATTGTCAGCAGCATTTGACAGTCACTTCATTCATTTTCATTATCATTTAGCACATACTGTGTTATTTTAAGTCGGTATATATGTATGTATGTAAATTAGAATAATTTGTTTGCAAAGTGAATTTTACTTAAAAAGGAAAAATGTTTTTTTTTTTGTTTGTTCTATTTGATACGATAGTTTATGAAATATATTTATTCACTTTCTTCACACCTGAATCATAATTTAAGCTGAATTATCTTATCGATAATTTGTTTGTTCATTTTGGTTAGAATTAAAACTGTTAAAATAAAATTAGACGTTTCCATTTATGTACGTTTAAAGAATATTTAGGAAGAATATTTATAGATATGAGAATCTTACCTATATGATTGGCTAAAAATCATTATTTTCGGGCAATTGATACAATTAGAAGTATGTACATATTTATAAATAATAAAATGACTCAAAATTGCCAAACATAATTCTACTTGGAATATTAAAAGTTTAGATTCAAATTAATACTTACACACATATTACCAACAAACAGAGTTTAAAACGTTTGTTAAAAACTCCCACAAACTTATTTAAATGTTCAAGATTCGCTGTGAACGTGATTTGAAACAATTATATTCAAATTATCAGTTGGGTTACCACAAGTAACCTCTAGAGCTAATAAAGTAAAAAAAACCACAAATTCATGAAAATATGTGTATTTTATTTATATTGCATTATGGTGTATACATATATGTATGTATATGGTAAACTTCTTATAAATATACAATACATAATTCTATCAAATATACTTATACTCTGAATATATTATAGACCTAAAAAGTAATAAAAAGTTCGTTAAAAATCACAAAAATATATTAAAGCAAAAGCGTTCGAGACGATTCATAAAAAAACGTTGTGCTAAGGGATTCAGGAATGAGATATGCTTACTAAAATAAGGAACATGGCGAAAAAACAATGATGTGAAACGTAAATAAATAAGATGGACACGTATATTCATAATTATAAAAAAAAGATTAAAATGAGTAAATATTTTACTGTGAGCTTATTGCACTACAATTGCAAAGAAAGTTCGTATCGTTAAAACTTTTTTTACATTGCAACCAAATACCTTCAACTGTAAAGCCTGAGCATTGGAAGCGACTGATTTTTATTTTTACAAATTGCTTGGAGTAGCATTAATATTCAATTTGGAATATGTTACCTTTGCCTGAACAAATCGAATTAAAATTGTCTTTTTATACCTTACATAACTACTGTTATGCCGCTACAACGGCTCGCCACTTTCGGTGACTAATGCCTTTCTGCGTAGTAGTTACATAACTAATCTCGTAATACTTTCTTCTTTCTTCGGGAGAGTTCTTAAGTTAAACTATTAATTGTATAAAAAAATAAGATAAATAATGGAATGTCACTGGTATACATTGAAAAATATTTTAATCACATATAATGGTTTAAATATTAAGCTGCACTCCGACCGAGGGCAATTAATGGAATAACAACAGTTTACGAAAACCTTAAGTACATACAACTGGCTTATATAGCAATAATTTCAGCGTGTAAAACAAAAAAAAAAAAATACAACAATAACATTGTAGTATTCTTAGTTTTTTCGGTTGTCATTTTTTTTTAAATCCCTTGATTTAAAAACCAACGGAGAAATATCATAAACGTAAAAACCCTGTTGTACTATATTTGACCCCTGGCTTTTTGGGCTTAGAAATTCTTTCATCACACGAAGTGATATACATATATGTACATATATCTTACGTTCTTTTTTTAAATCTAATTTAATACATATACATATGTTTATTCATATGAATGTATACTCGCCGAAGACGGTCTAGTCACATGGATAATTATTATAAAAAATACATGATATCCTCTCATAAGCAACAAAACATGCTTATTTTTGTATAACTTCTACAAGTTTCCATATTCTTACTTGAAACAGGTAGCTCGTTGCAAGGCTGTCTCGCGCAGCTCTTCCTTACAAGCGCCCACATGCTCGACTAATTCGTCACGCTGCTCAAAAGTCTTTTTACAAATGTAGCATTCATAGAAGTACACCGATGGATCGTGCTCTTTCAAATGTTTGGTGTAGGACTCGATTTCTGTGAAGCGCTGTTTACACTCACAACATTCTAGCCAACAATCTTCCGTTGACGAATCATCTTCGTTCGAATCATAGCTACTGTCGTAGCGCGTTTTAGCTCTTTTTTGTGGGCTTGACGTGCTGCTGGAGGAGCTGAGCTGCTGTGGATCAAAATTTGTTTCCTCATCATCATCGACGTCATCCTCACTGACGTGTGTTCTCTTGTGCTCGCTGTATTCCAAATAATCACGATATTTACTAGGACAATGCAAACATTTATAATAACGCTCTCGTTGATGTGTCACCATGTGCTTTTTCAACGTTGAGTATTCCCGAAACGGTTTGCGACACTTGCTACAGGAAAACGGCTTCTCGCCAGTATGTATCATGAAGTGACGCTTTAGATTGTGTCTTGTGCCAAACGCTCGCTGACATAATGGGCATGGAAATTCTTTACGTGTCATAACGCCCAACTGATTGTAGTTGGGTCTGTGCACTGCGGGTATATTGTCGAGCAGCGAATGTGTACCACTCTTATAATTAAGGGTAATTGGCGCATTTATCGGCACCAATGACGGTAAGTCTGATTGTAGCAGAGGCGTAGATTTCGATCGCTTGGGAGAAACGGCACCAGATGTGGGTTGGGGTATTGATTTTAATGTAATTGTTGTATTATTATTATTCCTTAACGTAGTAATCGCAGTTGTTATTGTTGTTGCTTCCGAAAAGTCATGGATACTCTCAGTTGGCAGCAATGGCTTTGCAATGAGTGGCGGTAGTTGTGGAGGCGGCGTAGGTGTTAGCGGTGATTGTGGTTTTTCTGGTGAAGAGGGCGGTGTAGCGGAGTATTGTGGACGCACTGTAGCCGCTGTGGTAGCAATCGTCTTCGAATCACAGTCACTGCAACGGGTTGGATCTTGAATCATCGGTGGCTTTACGCGACAGACCATACACACAAAGTTCGGCTCATTCGAGTGTCGGCGACGATGTTTCTTCAGATCACTGAACTCGCGAAAGCGCCGATCGCACATATCACAGGCGAATGGACGTTCACCTGCAGTAACAAAGAGATAACCATAGCATAGAGTTAAGCTATATATATAATACATATGTATATAAATTAGATAAAATATTAATTTATTTTGAATGCGCTGCTAAACATAATACATACATATAAATATGTTTATATAATTTATCATATTCTACTCATAATATACTTTTGCTTATTTCACTTTGTAAGATAGTACATTAACACCCTCACCTGTATGTATCATCATGTGTCTTCTCAAATTATAGCTAGACTGCACCTTCTTGCCACACAAATAACATTCGAAAAATTGTCGCCCCTTTTCGCGTCGAACTAAATCTTCCCAACGCAGTTCTAATCTTTTATCCTGTTCGTCTACAAATTCGACATTTTCATCATCTGAATTGAGAACGACTATTTCGTTACTTGAATTATTCGCCTCCGATCTGCTTATTTCGTTCGCATTTGCTATGACATCATTCTCGTCATCATCGCACTCCAGTTCACAGCTGACGGCTGCAGCTACGAATGACAGCTCTTCGTCTTCTTCGTCGTCACTATTATACACATTGGCTTCAACTTCGCTGCTTGGATTCCCTGCATCATAAACTGCTTTAACACATTCCGTCTCAGAATCGCTACTGTCAGACAGTTCAATGTGTGCAATTATCCGTTCCTTGGAGGGATCTTTTTTGCTCGGCTCAAGTGCTTGCTCGTTCTTCGTTTGTGTGGTTGGACTTTTTGGAATAAGACTAATACTTGGAGATTTTAGTCTTGGTCGACTTTTTTCATGCCCTATAGTAGGCAAAATCGCTGGCGATAGATTCAGATGCTGAATATTAGTCTGTGCGGTGGTTTTGAGGTTGGCTTTCTCCGCTTGGTTCCTTATTTGACGCAACTCTTCTCGGTCATCTTCATCGTCTAAATCAATAATCTCAAACAAAACTTGTTGCTCTTTCACTTTTTCTGCGGAAATAGTGGCGTTTTCAGTTGTTCTTTTCTTCCCTTTTTTTCTTTCTAATGCACATTCTCGTCCAATTTTCATAAGAAGACTTTTGATTTTATTATCTTCGATGGAAATAAAATTTTCTTCAGGTTCCTGATACTCGTAGTGTGTGTTTGAGGATGTATTTGGACAATTTTCAAACGTATTATCTGAAGTTGCAGTGGGATAGGCCAAAGGTGGGGGTTGCATACTCGGCGCCTGTTGTAGTGGCGGGGGTTGTGATAAGAGTGGTGAAGCAATTAAATTTGTGGAGGGGGGCGGTGTTCCAACATATGCTGGCGGATGGCAGGTACCACTGCAACATGCAGTTGTTTCATATAAATTATTCCCAGTTACATTTGCACAACAATTTGGTGTCCGTTGCATGGAGACTTCGTATGAAAGGCCACGTCGCCCTTGTTGATCCCAGATTGGTTCAAATAACTCAGTTCCTTGTTGTGCAGCAACGACATTACAGCACTGAGGAGGCTTTGAATAATTCAAGCACGGTCTTGTTGTTGACATACGAGGTACAGACTGAAGCAAGATCGGTGGTAATGATGGTGAAGAGTTATAATTAACATTTGTTTGCGAAGATGGCAAACGAATAAGTGAAGGTGGTGGTGCTGTTGGCACTGCAGCCAAAGGTGCATGTTGTTGAGTAAGTTGATGATGGTGGTCAACAACTTTGAGTGTGGTATTGTTATTACCGTGCGGCGGCACAGACGAAGAGCATTTTAACTTCATGAGAATTTCCATTTTGATTATATGTGGTTTTATATCCGTCCCTGGGAATCTAAATGGCATTAATTAGTTATGTATAATTAGTATTTATAAACTGTATGTATCTCACTTATACGTATGTGCATACAAATTTACGAGGAGTCAAAAAATAATATTTCGCAAAATTCTATATATGTATGTGCATATGTGTGAATATTTCAAAGTAAAAAAAATCATTTACTGAAACGCACGCACACAGGGAAGAAAAAGAGTTCAGATTTTCATTGAAAGTTTATACTAATAAAAAAGCGCATTAAATATTAAAACCAAACCATTATTTTGAGGGATTTTTTCTCAGTAAATTTAAATTTTTCAATTATCACAGCTAATGGTGAGCGAAAATATATTCTTTGGACTACCGTAATGTTTAAATTTGGCTTGGCGATATTTTGAGCTAAGAAGCGCACATACATTCAAATATAACGATCGATTAGTGTTCTTACCGACATACACTTTGCCTGTCTTCAGTTAATGATTGCGATCGTCTTGGGATTCTATTGACTCGGCCAAAGCACGACTAATCTCCATTACAATATATACGCGCAGTTTTTAGCCTTTGCGATTGCCGTACGGTGATGTCTTCGGACTGTCTGCTCGTCTTTTTCGACGCGAATGACTAAATTGTTTTAGTTGTTGCTATTGAAAATTTGCAATTTGATGTGGCTACTTCTGTCTTTCTAAGCTTGTCTTGATCTCGAGGCTGAATCATCCAAGCAGCACGAAACCAGGCAAACAGAAAAAAATCACACTGTCTGCCAAGACGAAAGAGCTCACGTAGCATTCCCAGTAGTTGTTGTTATTATTATTAATGCCTTCGTTATTCTTTTTGCTGTGAAAATTTTACCTGTGCCTACTATATCAAGCGCTACCAACAATGTTGCCATTGCCATTGCGTGTTAACTTGATTTTTCTTCAGGCGGTAAGTCAGCAGAGACCGAAAATCAAGAGAAAAATACAAAATAAGGCGTGATGAAAAAAAATAATAATAATGTAAAGAAATAGTGAACTCACGATTGCAACAACGATCTTCTTGCCGCGCAGACTGCTTAAACAAAGTGGCAAGACCAAGTTAATCAACCACTGAACGCAAAAATCCACAACACGTACAACCTCGCACCGCAAGGCAAAAACCGAGCAACGAACCGGACAGTGCGAGCAATGCTCGATCTTTATGTAGCTCTCCCCAAACGTTTTGCTCCAGTGCTCCCGCTGGTACGATTGGCGCTGACAGTAAACTTCACCTTTACTCTTCCCCCCGCTGTTGCTCTAAAAAATCCAGTTTATCTTCCAATTGAAATCTGCCGTGTCGCCTTTGTGCACAACTCCTTCATGTAATAACGCACAGTTTTAATTTTCGTAATAAGGGAAAACAATTAATGCAATTTTTTCAAATTTAAACAAATGTTTTTAATAATTCCTTTTATTCATTCAATTCAATTTTACTATGTTTTTATTTACACTTTTATTTGCACAACTTTTATTTTGAGTCGACTGATTTTGACTCCACACTCAAATTGGATCACCATTTCTTTTGCGCTCAAGAAAACAAATGAGATTTTCTCCAGCAAATTTCAATTTCTATTTTCCTTAAAAAAGGAATACAGCGTGCTTCTGATGTTAAATTTTAGGAATAAAGTCTATCACGTAATTGAAATTAGAATTAATATGATAGTTAAATTAATTTTGTGAACCTGCTGAAGTTATATATCTTTCTTTGTAATTGACATTTTTTACAAATTTATTTCTATAAAAATTTAAATGAAGATCGTGAAATAGTTATTCACTTTGCTCTCCAAGAAAAATCTGTATGTACAAAATAAAAAAAGCGAAAAGGGAAAACAGGATGAAACCATGATCTGAAGTAGTTTGTTTAAGATACAGTATTATATTGTTTAAATTTACTTCCGAATTTTATATTGAATAAACTTGGTCACAAAAAATCTTCTTTATACATTATTATTTATGGATAGTTAAGCGAATAACTTCCTTGCATAAGTTCTTTTTCATATTCAACAGATTCTTTACCTTCTCTCAATATTTCTAAATATTTGCCCTTGATCCATATTAGAGAAAGAAGTTCTTAAATAATATCTCCGGTTTATAATTTAATTTAAACTTATATTTCAAAAGTCCAAATTCATTGAAAATTTAGTGCAACAAAATATTGCTTGAGAAGCTCATTAGCATTGATCTTTGTTGTATTATCCAATTATTTGTATTAAAACTTAAAACCTAATGAATTATTATTGAATTTTTGAAGTGCAAGTGCACTTTAACGGTAATGATTCCGTAGTTACGTTTTACTGAATCTCTTTTTTACATATTGATTGCAGCACTCTGTGTTCAATCTCTGGATAATTTCATTAAAGCAATCGATTTATTTTTAACTCGCGAACCGTTTTGGGAATAATAACAAAAGATTTTGGAAAAATATTGGTAAATATAATTTACTTTATAATTAAAGAGGAAAATCGTACAAATCTATTTTATACACAAGCGAAATAACCCTTGGTTTGAATTTTTTAGGCAATAAGCATGTTTAATAAAAACATTAAAATTATGAATAAATATTGATTTTTTGTTCCGTCGTTTTCATCCTCTAGGTAACGTCCCCATACTACCTTTGACTCATTCTCCATAGACTATTCAGCATAATAGAGAATGAGTGCTCGATCCCGACGTCCTGGCACTGCCAGTAGCCAGACACCAAACGAATGTGTCCAAGTAGTTGTTCGTTGTCGTCCAATCAGTAATAAGGAACAATCTGAGGGTTCGGAAGAAGTAGTTGCTGTGTATCCAAATCGCGGTGTGGTGGAGATAACAAATTTATCTGATGCTAATAAAGAACAAACCAAAATGTTCACTTACGATGCTGCTTATGACGCTGGTGCTACCCAAATCAATCTCTATAATGAAGTTGTTTTTCCGTTAGTGAGCTCTGTGCTAGATGGTTTCAATGGCTGTATTTTCGCTTATGGCCAAACGGGCACTGGAAAAACATTTACCATGGAAGGTGTCAGAGGTCACGAAGAACTTCAGGGTATAATTCCACGAACATTTGAACAAATTTGGCTACATATTAATCGAACTGAGAATTTTCAATTTCTGGTCGATGTCAGCTATTTGGAAATTTATATGGAAGAACTACGTGACTTATTAAAACCAAATTCCAAACATTTGGAAGTTCGCGAACGCGGCTCTGGCGTCTATGTGCCCAATTTGCATGCCATCAATTGTAAAAGTGTCGATGATATGTTGAATGTAATGCATATTGGCAATAAGAACCGCACTGTTGGTTTTACCAATATGAATGAGCACAGCTCACGTTCACATGCAATATTCATGATACGTATCGAAATGTGCGACATTGAAACAAACACAATAAAAGTAGGAAAGCTCAATCTAATCGATTTAGCGGGAAGTGAACGTCAGTCGAAGACAGGTGCTTCAGCTGAACGTTTGAAAGAAGCAAGCAAAATAAATCTTGCTCTCTCCTCTCTGGGTAATGTAATATCAGCGCTTGCAGAGAACTCGCCGCATGTACCGTATCGTGACTCGAAACTTACACGCCTTCTACAGGATTCTTTGGGTGGTAATTCAAAAACGATTATGATAGCTAATATCGGCCCATCCGCATATAATTACAATGAAACATTGACTACTTTACGTTACGCATCCCGAGCTAAGACCATTCAAAACAAACCAGTGAAAAATGAGGATCCACAAGATGCTAAACTTAAGGAATATCAAGAGGAAATCGAAAGGTTGAAACGCTTAATAGCACCGAAGCAACAACAGCGCACAGAAAAGACCGCAAAGAAACGACAGCGAAAACCAAAAAAAGAAAAGGTTAGCAATGAAGTTGTGCAACAAGAGATCGAGGAAAGCGAAGAAGAGCCCGAATCAGACAAAGAGAATGAAGCAGAAGTAGCGAAGTCGAACGAGGAATTGGAGCGTGAGCGAGTCGAAACAGCTAAGCTTGCAACTAAATTGGCAGAACTAGAGTCGCAGTTGGTGCGTGGTGGGAAAAATTTATTAGACACCTACAGTGAGCGTCAACTGGAGCTTGAGAAAAAACTGGTTGAGATTGCAGAGCGTAAAAAACGAGAAATTGAAATTCAGCAACAATTGGAATTGCAGGAAGAGACTACTTTAGAAATACGAGAGACAGTAACATCCTTGGAGCAAGAAGTGGAATTGAAGAAAAGAAAACTATCGAAGTGCTATGCTAAATACTTGGCTCTTCAACAGGAACTGAACGATTGTAAATATGATCATAATCAAGATTTACGGGAATTAGAAATGGCTCAGAATGAACTTGTGAAAGAGTTGAAGAGACAGTTATTAATAATAGACAATTTTGTGCCTGTTGAAGTGAAGCAACGTCTTTACACCCAAGCAAAATATGACGAGGAACAAGAAGAATGGAAGTTCTCTTCCACACCATTAACAGGTGATTCTAATTACTTAGCAAAGCGCCCGGTATCACATCCTCAACGCCGTCGTCCTATCTCAGAATACGCTCTAATGGAGGCTAAAACTAACACAACTTCCGCACTGCGTTTTAAAAACGAAAATATTGTCTCGTATGAATTGGAAATGCCCTGCCGCACAACACAGGAGTATCGTTCGCCGAAAGTTTCTGCATCACTGCAGGCAGTATTAGCTCAAGCTATGCAAACCGGTGACGACATTGACATTGTTGATTCGCACACGAATTCCATACGCAGCCGTCTCGAGAATATAATAAATGCTAGTGCCAATGCAACGGCAGCACAAGCCACAGCTAATAACAGTCCTACAACACCAAATGGTGTCTCCTCAATGCCCGTAGCTGCTGCACGCAATATAAAGCCAGGTCGAGGTATAGCTTCACCTGGCTCGGCTATCGACTCAAATAGGCGACCGCCTACTGGACGTGTGGCGCCCAAAAAACCTGCATCGGCTTATCCGAAAGCTCGCGGCTTGGTTAATAAGTAAAAGCGGTAGAATTACTGAAAACCCATATTTCTCAAACATTTTAATACACATACAGCGTTTAAATAGCTAAAAAACGTACACTTGCTTCAAAAAGTATATTTTTTAATTTCAGTTGAATAACTCCATTTTTTTATTAGCATTTTGGATATGCGAAGTTCTAAAACTGTGTCACAGATTGATTCTTTTAGTAAATTTGTAAAGAAAATTACTTGTTTTGACTATAATGTTTAGACGTGGAAAAGTTATTAATACTCACAATGTATGGGCGGTCATGTATGACGGTCCTTTAGACAAGTTCTTACTTTTACAGCAGAGTTAAAAGATGTTGATTCTTAAAAAGTATTTTGGAAAAGTTAATAAGGCTTTTTTACATTTCACCAATATTTTTTTTTTTTTAATGTTTTTACATTAAGTATTTTATTTTCTAAGTGATTTGTTTTGTCTTTGACTGTGCAATATATTATTAATTAAAAACACATACGCATTATACATAATGATAAGCTTAAAAAAATAATAAAATCTACGCACCCTAAACAAAAAAGTTCTTTGGAATTATTTAGGTGGTTTATTTGTCTAGGTTATTAATGCCAGTTTTTTCAACCATTTCCAACAACGCTTTGAGTTTGTTTTCAAACAATTCACAACGTATGGGCATTTCAAGTGCATAAAAGGGATTTTTCAATACATAATCGGAATATAATTCATATATTTTACGAAGTACCATATCCATACCACTTAAGCCAGTTTCTGATATTATAATAAACTTAACTCCTGTCAGCGTTTGAAAGCAATGCAGGGTAAATGTATCAGCCTCCAGAATTTCAATACCAGAACTTTTGGGCTCTGGACTGAGTTGACTGGCGAAGGCGTAGAGTGGGTAAAATGTACTCGCCTGCACAATTTTTTCATTAGTTGTCAATTTCGGTCTGCAAAATTTCAAGTTGAGTGGATAGTTTTCTGGGTTTTCCAAAACGGTTTTCACGTCGCGTCCATCTTCAATTGTGTTACCATTTACCGATGTGCTATTAACAGCCGTCAAAACATGTCCAACTAAAAAAATGTTTTTAATTTTTACAATTAGAATTATCATTGTCTAGTACGAACCATTGATACCATCCTTTTTATTAAATATTACTGATACTTTCTTTGAGTCATAATCCAGCATCAAGTCAAGCGGATAGGTAAATGAGCGTTCTTGTTCTATGCGGGGCACATTACTATCCAAATTATATATTAGACCTCCAGATTTACTTACTATATACACTCCATAAATAATCATTTCGAGATATATTTTTATTTACACTTTACTTTTACTGTTCTTCTTCTTGTATTCACTAATAAATGCATTCACAATTTCACAATTGTAGGGTGTTCTGTTTTTTTCCTAAAATATCGGACATGGATAAAAAATATTATATTCATTAGGTAGTGTCCACATTTTAACAAGCAGAGAACAAGTTCCCCCAAAAGGGGAAGGGGAAGTTTGAAATGAAATATTATTTAATAAATATTTAACAGAAAACTATAAAAGTCCTGTCAAACCGCGGACAACTTCAGAATCACTAACCAATAATTAATAAAACTTCCTTCTAGACATCACTTTTTTTCTCACATTTGTTTTCAAACAAATAACCGCAATTAGTCTTTTAATTTATTTTTATTAAGCATTTCTCTTAATTATAATGTTTGTAAATATACAATTTTTAGTAATGCGCTTTGAGATACTATATTTGTTTGTTGCAGACTCATTTATGTAGCATTTCTATATACATACATATATATTTATAAGTATGTACGTTTATATAGAAAAATTTAGACTGACAATCAAAAATTAAATTCTCTATAAATAAAATATATAGAATTTGATTCGTCTACCCGTTGGCTTACAAATAATGACATTGGGTTTCTTAAATAAGAACAAACTATGTTAAAACTACGTTATTATGCATATGAAATAACTTGAAGTATATTGATACATTAGATAATATATATTTAAATCCTAATAATAATTGTAAACCCAAATGCTCTGGATTTTAAATTGATTGCTTCATGTACACATGTATCAATAAAGGATGATAACGACGAATTTCATTCATTAAAGCGTAAAATATTTAGTATACCGCTTCTTCATTAACCACTTGCCTATAAGCAAGTAGTAACTCCATTTCCATTAATCGATATCTACGTTAATGAAATAGCCTTGGCGTAAAATTTTTAAATGCGTCACCAAAAGTATATATTTGGAAATTAAGCTTCTAAAAAAATGTAAAGAGCCAAGGTGTGGGCAGAATTGGTTTGAAGCACTCTATTGCCTTGGTAGTTTGCTTAAATGTAGTAGAGCCGCACAATTGATTTGGTGATAAGTGTGTCGTTGTCATAGAAACTTGTTTGAATAGTGACATTGCCATTTAAGACCTTGGCTGGCATCATTTGGGATTCGGGTGCTGCCTCGATTGTCGATTGCCAAGTATTTGTTGTGTTTGCGCCCACCCAACCCATTTCAAAAAACCATTCTTCCATTATGCGTCCTTTGAAGAGCACCTTTTGATCAAGACGAAAGTTTTCCATCGGTTCAATAGTACTGAAGTTAATTTCACGGGACACTGCTCTCAAATCCAATATTTTGATTGGCACACGCGCTTCATGTTCAACATCTGGCGATGAGAAATCTTTATTTTCTTGCCAGATTACCTTTCCGGAATCTGCATCGCGAAGAATCATATAGTTTATTTGAAAACCTTTTTGGATTTTGTCGCCAGAACTACTCTCTGTGTCTTCGGAACCCATCTTGTGCTAGTGCCGTTTCAGAAGATCACTTTACAAATGATTTATAAATAACTTATTCAATTATTTTCGTCACTTTTCACTCACAACCAATGTAAAATTTTATTGACGTTTTCTGTTTTTGCTTCCAAAGGTCTGCTTCTTCTTAATTGAATATTTTGAGTCATAAACCACAGGGCTGTTCGAATACTTTAATTTAAAATTTTGTAACGAGTTTCGCTCCTTCGAGATCGATTCTTGGATCGATAAATAAAAGTCCCAAGATTTATGTTTATTTATTACTCAATAAATCACAATTTCAGTTTACTAACTGTTCAACACTCTACAAACACACACTTTATTCCGCTGTTCTCTATGCCGATGTTATCGCCACTGTGGTTACTTCGTAAGTGACTACTGCTGCAACTACCCAACGCGCGTACCAGCCGTCCATAACTGGCGACGTCGAGGCGAGATACATACACGAGTTATCGACGCTGCTGAGAGCGGCGAAATGTTGCCAGCTGCCATTGTGTTTGCACACTTTTCAACAAATTCATAATTTTCGTCAACGAATTTCATAATTTATGTGTTCGAATATAAACGCAAATCAATATACATTACCTATATGGTAAGAAATAATTAGTTACGCATTTAGTTTTCATTTCTTTTAAAAAAAAAACTAAGCATTTTCTTCTATTATTTAATATTACTATAAAAAAGATTATACTGGCAACCTCGTATAGCAACGAAAAATGAGCAGAGCCGGTTTTACGGAAAAAATCAAATCGCCGTTGGTTTCTGCGGGACAACTATCACTAATGGCAAGGGCAAGCGGTGACAACTTTGGGTTTACATTGCGCTCTCGTAAGATAGGTTGCTATTGACGTCTGGTACGTGAGTTGGGTAGTTGCAGCATTATTCATATACGTAATTTGGCTATAATCAGAAATGTCTGATTTCAATTCCTGATTATTTGCTTTTAATTATATTAAACGTAGGTACTTGAACCACTCTGTGGGTAGATCAACTTTTCAAATTTCTGATGATTTGCTATTAATAATTTAAACATAGGTACTTGAACCACTCTGTGGGTAGATCAACTAATCAAATTATTGTCATGTCGTTGTTCGACAATAGCGGAATTTAATTGTTTGCGTTAAGTTGTCAAATATAGTTTATATTGTATAAAAAATCGCTAATGATATTTAGCAAAATATAATAGATTCACTTTTTTAAAAAGCGTTCCCTTATTATATATTAAAATGGATCAGATGTTGAGTCCTGGGTTTTCAATCCCCAGTATATCGGCAACACCGCTTCATCAAATGGATGCGGATCAACAAATTGTACCAAATCCTGTTTATCATCCTGCAGCAGACACACACGATCTAAACCACATGGGTATGCCTTCATTAATGAATAGTGGCGCTTCTCCTGCAGCAGGAAGTTCTTCTATGATAGGAAATGCACACCCAACGCTACCCACCGCACATAAACAAATGCAATCGTATCAAAGTTCCGCAAATTCATTGACAAATGGTGCGGCGCCACAAAGTCTAATGATGCCGCAAACACCGGTAAGTGGGATAGAATAGTATCAAGTGCTGCTAAATTTAAGAAATATATTAAAATCTTTTCAGCAAAGTCTAATGTCACCAATGGTGCCGATGAGTGAGCGCGCTGAAAATCTTAGTAACATACATCAAACAATGGGCCCTGCGACACCAATGACTCCAATGACCCCTGGTTCGGCTGACCCTGGCATCGTACCACAGTTACAGTAAGTTTCATACGTTAGCTAATAGGAAAAAAACACTAGTTTTAAAATATATTTCTGTGCAATTATAACAAACAAATTAGGAATATTGTGTCCACTGTCAATTTGTGCTGTAAATTAGACTTGAAAAAAATAGCTCTGCATGCGCGTAACGCTGAATATAATCCAAAACGATTTGCTGCTGTAATTATGAGAATTCGTGAGCCACGAACTACTGCCTTGATTTTCTCTTCTGGCAAAATGGTATGCACAGGTGCAAAGAGTGAGGATGACTCTAGGTTGGCAGCAAGAAAGTACGCACGCATTATTCAAAAACTAGGATTTCAGGTAATTTACATAGTACAGAATCAAAAGTGCTTTAAAGATAATAAGAATACTCTTACTTTTGCTTTTTAGGCCAAATTTCGAGATTTTAAAATTCAAAATATGGTCGGCTCATGTGACGTGAAATTTCCAATACGCTTAGAAGGTCTTGTACTTACGCATTGCAATTTCAGTTCGTATGAACCAGAGCTTTTTCCAGGTCTAATATATCGAATGGTGCGGCCTCGTATTGTGCTTTTAATTTTCGTGTCTGGCAAAGTGGTGCTAACAGGAGCAAAGGTGCGCCAGGAAATCTATGAAGCATTTGATAAAATATTTCCTATTCTAAAGAAGTTCAAAAAACAGTCTTAACGTCACAATACAATGACTGCTTTCCGTGTTGGAATATTTATTTAATTTGCGAATAGCTTGCAGCATCGAACGGGTATTCATGGTTTAAAACTAGTTGCTGTTAAACAATTTGCAATTGGCTATTTGATGAATCAGGGAGTTATGATTGAATATATTAAACTTTTATATAAAGTTTGTGTGAAATTAGTTAAGAGAACATTGTAGTTTATTTAATAAGTATATTAGATTTAGGCGCTGCGGAATTGTAAAACGCATACTATGTAATATTGTTTAATAATTTAATTTTGTATAACATCTTAACTTTGTAACCGATTCAGTTCGACTAAATACAAAACGATGTAAGATCGAAGAAATATTTTAAATTAGTTTTCAAAGAAATTTAAAAAATCTTAATTAAGGCGACAATATTTGAAATTAATAACGACGCTACTGAAATATTGTTATTTAAAAATATATTAGATTTTATTTTCTTTCCAGCTTAGATTTCTATGCTGTGTTCATAAACCCGTGTTTGGTAAACATGTAAATACAGTTAATTTACAAGCATTGGGCCATTAAGCCACCCAAGTTATCGAATTCAATTTTTTCCGTAATATTTTTCGTTTTAATCTTCTCATCTTGGACAGCAATGATGACCAAATTGCCTTGATGTTTCCAACCATATTTCTTCATCCATTGATCAAGTGTAGAATCTGCAAGATTAATTTTATTATTTAATTATTTGTATAATAAAAATGTCAAAAATATTAGTTGCCTTCAATGCCACCCAAAAGTTCTTTTAGTAGATCTTTTCTGATATTTTGGAAAGTAATGCCAACAACATGGCATACAAATTTACGTATGGAATCGTGGAAACCAGCAATATGACGAAACATTGAACGGTTTACTTCGGCACGTTGCCAGAATAAAGTAAAATCTGTACGCTCTAATATATCAGCCAAATCGATGATGGTCTGTACGGTGCCATCCTTCATTTGTTGGGGTAATAATAAACATTTGGCCATAACAAAATCTGTATGTGGCAGGTTTGTCAAGCACTTCAATAGAATTGTATATGTGATATCGTAGTTAAGCATGTGTGGGTTGAATTGGTATAGCTTCAGCACTGCGAGATTTGCCTCCAAGTCGTAGGTGTTATTCTTAGCTTGATCCTCTACATAAGCTTCCAATGTTTTCAAATGATCCGGATTATACCTGTTTTGGAATTTTAAGTATACGTTTAATAGCACTTTAAGGTTATGTACGACCTTTTTCCACCCCAGACAAATGTACACATTTGGCTTACCGTTCAATGCAACCCAGCATCTCTTGAATCGTTTGGCTTTGACCATTTTCCATTTTAACCATATGAGACATTTTGTTTTAATTTAATGTTTCCTTGTATAATTAATATAGAAATTTATTAGTCCAGCAGCGCGACGCAAACACAACTCACAACTTGACGTTGCTTGATAGAAAAGAGAACAAAGAGAGAAGAGAGCGTCGATAAATGTCAAAAGCAAGCGTGGCTAATGCAGTTCATTGATATTAGGTAATAGATTTGGGATTTTACACAATTTCTCATAGTTAGAGTCACCTACCAAAATATTAGTATACAATTTTGAACATTTTAAAGAGTGTACGATTTTCTAATAAGAGTGATATGATTTATTAAAAAAAAATACAGTAATTGTTAAGGGAATTCCGAAGTTTTTTATTTGATGTGTACAATCGATACATTTAGGCCCTGAATATAACATCATTCAAATGGCCTCCACGACTCCTTTTGCAGGAACGTATTCGATGAACCCAATTTTCACTATATCAAGTCGTATGTCACGAATAGCACGCTCAATATTGAAGAGAGTCTTGTCTATTGCAAAAGATCAATGACTCCAAATAATTCCACTAGAAGTAGTCTAATGGTGTTAAATCACAACTTCTTGGATACAGAGAACGTGAAGGGTACCCTCAATGTCACAATTTCTTGAAATAATCGGATCTCCAAACCTTTCTCGCAATAATTTGCTTGTTGCAGATGCTGTGTGACATGTAGCCCCGTCTTGTTGGAACCACATGTTGTTAAAATCAACTTCTTCCACTTGTGGTTTTCCATTGTAACGGTGCTACCAGCAGTTTTATTTCGAAAGAAGTACGGACCGATCATTCCTCCGGACCAAAATCCACTCCGAACTGTCATTTTTGGTGTACGTAATGCTTATTCATGAATAATTTGTGGACATAATCTTATCGTTATCGTTGTTTTTGCTGTTGTTTGTAACCGCAAAAGAAGACTATCTTTGTCGTTTGAGTCGAGTTCTATGCTTTACATTACAGCCGTTGGATTCTGCTTCCTATCTGGAGTGGACTTTCGACAAACTGATTTTCCTGTTACGGGAGATAATATTTGCTGACGTTCTAGGGATTTGATTACTATCATTGTTGCCATTCAGTATTCTGGTTGCTATCTGTCTACTTATGTATTTTTGTCCCTTCGTTTGAACTTTGTAATGATATATACTTTTTACGTTCGATTCTCTAAAGGAGGACTTGGGTCTGACGCTGCTTATTCTTTATTTTATAACTACATACATACGTATGTACCCCCATCTGAATATCCATATAAAACTTTTTTACCTGCATGTATGTATGTGTTTTATCTGTATGTATGAATGCACGTCGAAGAATGTGCATTTTTATTTAATTCTTTCCCTTAACTTTTCGCTTACTATTTCAATAAAGCAATGAATTGCCCATTCTTAAGTAAGTGATATTTAGAACCGCTCGCTTGATCAAACAAGCAAAATTTTTAAAATTTACGTTGACGAAAGACGCACAACAACAAGACCAACGTGGGCATGCATCCATTTTAACGCGTTACACATGCACATACGCACACATATGTATGTAATATCATACAGCAGCCAACCAACCACAGCCACCCAGCGGGCGGTACACAACGGGACATTAACCACAACAACAATTCAAATACACAAAGAGTCAGGCAAACAAGAGGACAGGAAAAAGGCGACAAATCAACTAAATGCTACAAATATGCACGCATTACATACACCACATACATGCATACATATGTACGGGTACATACATATGTACATTCATTATGGATGCATCAATAACAAACACAATGGTAATTACAAAACGAGCAAAAACATCATTAGTAATAACAACAAAACACAAAATAGCCTTTAGCGAGGAAAGAAGCGAGTTAAACTTTATGGCGATAGACGGACAAACAAATGCACATACATATGTACATATGTGCGCACATTGATTTTTGATGCACGCGACTTTTCTATTTAGTTTGCTTTTGAGTACGAGTATTTTTAAAAAATCAACAGTACTCGGCCGTGGATACTTCTCAACTGCCTTCATTAATTTTAATATTATTATTAATATTGTTGTTTAATTCATTGCGACCGACAAGTAATTTTATATCTGGAATTGAATGGAAGCGAGTTTGCTGTTACAGTTTGATATATTTTATTTTACATTTATTTTATTTGCTTATTACCTTTTCGATAAACTCGTCACCCTTGTAATTTTTAATATAAGTGTGTGTATTAGCATTTGTATATGTAGCACGCGCGCGCATATACATATGTATGTACATACATAGATTATATCATCTATATGTACGAACTAACTCAAGAACGCCTGGACCGATTTCGTCGATTCGCACCAATTCGGATTGGTCTCCGACCAAAGAAGTAAAATACCTGAAAAGTGAACGAGGGACTGACCTATACGAAAAAATTCGTTTTTTTGTTTCGATTGTCTTGAAATTTGATACATATGTATGTATGTAGCCTTTTGCCTAAATTAACCTAGGTACTCCTCTTTCCTCTGAGTCTCATTACAACTCTGGTGTTAATCAAAAGGCATGGATGTGGGTGTAAGTTCAAATGCAAAATACGTCATAATGTGGCGTTAGAAAGTCACAGCTTTTGAGAACGTCGACACATACGAGTAGACACAGTAGGACCTTCGGCTGCACTTTCTCTTACAGTCACTTCGAATTTCTTTAGAATTCCACCAGTTGCTTCAAGCAATTGCGAAAATCTCAAATGCATGCAAAGGGTGTATGAAAAGTGAAGTCCTGGGTCATCTATGCATAATGGAACAACAAAATACTTTTCGAACGAACTCCAATTAAGAGTGAAAATTTGATGATAATATGATTACCGTTATTCAAAAAAAGAAAAGAAAATTGTGAAACTATATTTTGAAAGCGACTAATTTGGTAGATTCCGAAAACAATTTTTATTTATTTTTATATTATATTTTTATTTTTTATAGCAATATTTTCAATTTATTAAAAATATAATTAAGACATACGTGTAAGCAGATAAAATGACGCAAAACCGTTATCACAGTTTTTCATAACTATAAAAGATAAACATAAATATATGTATGTATGTACGTAAATGTGTAGTCATATATACATCTATGAAATTATTCAAATTATCTCTTTACAATTCAATTTTTACTTTCCTCCTCCTTTTTACTTTTCTTCTCCTTCTCCTTTTTACTCTCCTTTTTGTGCCCCTCCTTATGTTTGCTTTTCTTTTCACCCTTTTTACCATATTCCTCATGCTCCTCATGATGTTCGCCGTGCTTATGCTTTTTCTTATATTTTTTCTCATCCTCTTCCTTGTGTCCCTTTTGATAGTGTTCCTTGTGCTTTTTATGTCCCTTCTTTTTGCCAGACTCATAATGTTCGCCCTTCTTGTGACCACCCTCCTCCTCTACATCGTGCTTATGATCTTTGCCATACTTCTTGTGATGTCCCGCTTTGTGTTCGTCATCGTAGAATTTCTTCTCCTTCTTATACTCATCCTTATTGAATTTCTTGTGATATTCCAACTCTTTATGCCCTTTCTTATGCTTCTTTTTGTGATGATGCTTGCCACCCTTCTTGTGCTCGCCAACCTCCTTCTTCTCCCCGTGTTCCTCTTCCTCATCGTAGTATTTCTTCTTTTTGCCGCCTTTATTACCATATTTATGCTCATGGTCCTCCACTTCGTGATACTTTTTCTCATTCTCATCCCATTCCTTCTTCTCTTTGTGTCCTTTATCGCCTTTATGCTTTTTCTCCTTATGCTCCTCCTTGTGATATCTCTCACCCTCTTCCTCCTTCTCTTCGGAGGACTCCTCCTGCTCCTCTTTCTTCTTCGCCGTCACATAAGTGACTAGTAGTGCAAGCAGCAGAAATACTTTTAGGTGGCGACGCATTCTTCGACGCGGTCGAATTGCCACTGTGACACTGATGCAGCGCGATTTTATAGGGAAAAATCGAAGCAATAAAAAAATGTTGTGCAATAGACGAATAGATGGTATGCAATGGCACACTGAAAAAAAACCTAATTATATGTTTTAATTTATATTTATATTTCTACAAATAACAAGAAAGCCACATCAAGCAAAAAATGAGTTTTTCAAATTGGTTGGCCCCTGGTTCCCTGCCCGGCCATTTTGTAGATCTAAACCATTCTCGAATCTTCTCCAATCCAATTAAATTTGACAAATTCAAAACTTAGTCATTCTTAAATGTAAAAATTATGTTACATACTTACATTAGGAGGGTGAGTTTCATATCAACTCAGATATTGAAATAATATGAAGTGAAAAAGATGACTTATTTTCAAAATTTGTATTTTGTTTGTACATTTCATGTACATAATATATCAACTTTGATCCCAAGTATCCCAAGAGATACTCGTAGTTCCATCAATTTCGATTCTTCACACGATGATCGAAATCGGACGACTATAACATATAGCTTTCATAGTACCGATTTGTTCCGATATGAGGTTTTGGCTCAAAACTCCGTCAAGAAGATATCTGGGAGCATGAGATTTGATATTCTCCACATGTACATATGTATGTACATCACAAATCACACTAATTTGCATAGTATTCAAAAAAGAAAAAGGTGTAATGGAAATAGCCAAAGGCAAAAAGTAGTGGCAGCAAAGCTTCAAAGCTTTGCTTGGATTTGAGTAATTTATTTCTCACAGTGTATTTGATAATGCGGTTTTGCTTTTGCCACCAGATGATGTAAGGTTTATGCTCCAGTACTTCGGCGCTGCTAATATCTCATACCTTGATTACAAATAAATATCATTTTGTTTTATGAAAAATTTTGAACACCGTCGAGAGGTCTGCGTTTGGTGCATATTTTTACCCAATACAAATACACGCGCATAAATACACTCTCTCATAAGAGAGTTAAAGGCTCAATGATTAGTCAATGAGCGGCCAACTTAAAGGCTACCGCTTAATTCTCCACATGCATTCTCGTACATATGTATGTATGTACATGTAAACTCCAGTCAAACAAAGAGTATTTTATAGTATTCTTATATATGTATGAATGTATGTATGTTAGCCTTTGCTGACGCTAAGAAGCCATTTGAAAGGGGCACACTCTCTTGCCAAGCCAAAGACTGACTGCGTACATAGCTTTAGCGACTATCTCATTACGAGCAAACAGGATTTCAATTAACCCACAAATTGATACTTAAACAATTGTCGCTTGCTGTGCGTCTTTTTGCAGTACCATCATTCACGTGTACACCCCCAACAACAAGACAAAACTTCGATAAGTATTTACGAGTAAGTAAGTAAGAACAACTCAAAGATGATCCTTTACAGCCAAAAACGATTTCTTAAGACACGCTTTATTTTCTCTAAACCCACGCGTTTTTACCTCACAAATGTCACAAAGTGCAAACACGAGACGAACTCTACATTGATCCCAGACGCACTGCTTACAATAAGCTGCAGGCCTGAAGGGAGTCAGTGTAAGAGTGCATAAGCATGAGCATGAGCTGGAGTCGCACTAGTGCACCAGTTAAATAAAGGATACCCATTGTTTTTTGGCATCTGCCATTGTTTGTGTAGTTGTTTATCTGGTTGTCGTTCAATTCGGTTCAGTTGTCAGTCGTCGATTCTTTGGTTGCGTTCAGCTGCTCTGGTTGCTGGTGTCGACACAATTGAATCGAGAGTCGAGGCGTTGCACTTTGTCTGAGGTGAGAATACAAATTGGCCTTTGATGGGATTTATGTGAGTTGACTCACTGTCATATGTACGTGGAAGCTATTACATTCATGCGCAAATCTATATACTCATACTATGTATTATAGCACAGGCTGGATGTGTGTATACATATGTACATACATATATGTATGTATGTTTGCTTGTACTAGTGCAAAAAGGGTGATAATCTCCATTTGCTGATTGTTCCATTGCTGTCCTGCTTCCCACTGTCGGTGTCAACACGACAGCGACACAAATAAATACATTGGAGCAGTAGTCATGCTCTCGGCTACATACGTATTTGCGAGTACGAGTACATACGAGGATTGTGCCATTATAAATTGGACTGTTCAAGCACATTTTCATTCCGAAAATTCCAATAAGAATGAATCGACGCTCATGCTCTCCACTGCCTATGAGATCAGCGAATATTTCTTTGAGGCCATCGGTATTTTGGGCTTTTTAATTTGCTTGGCATCAGTATAAGGATGTGGTTCCAACGTCAAATACATTTTGCCTAAAATAAAGAAGACGTACAGAGGAAAGTCAGGTTGCTGACAGAATCGCTTTCTAAGTTAAGTCGAGAAGAGGATGGAAGTTGACCATTCTGAGCATAAAAATTACTGTTAGGTTCTTTGTTCATACTCGTATAAATTTGTAGATCAGTACAGGAGCGAGAACTACTAAGAAATGAATTTTCAGTGCTATATGCATACACACACGTACATACATATGCATAATAAATATTTGTATGCGTAAGTGATTAATTCCAATATTCACTTGTAATATATTTCGATCTATTATTTAATCCTTATGCGTATGTCTTGAGAAACATTAGACTTATAGCTTATGAACACATGTACAAACATATGTACACGTGTGTACATTCAACGCGAACGGGAATTCGAACGGTTGGTGCATATAAAATTAAATTAATTTTTTAATCTTTCACTCGAGGCTATTTGAAGATTAAAAGCGTAGTACAAGCATGAAAGCAGGTGGAACAGCATACATAATACATACATGCGTATAAATCCATATATAAATATATGATATGTAAATATATATATATATATATATATATATATATATATGTAATATTTGTATATGCACATTCTATAGCAACTTGGCTCGTTCTTTGTATGGAGTTATTGTATGTTTATATGTAAATATGTAATAATCGATAGTCAAATAGAAAATGTATCAGGAGCATTAAGGAAGTCTTATTGCTGTGTACTCGTATATACGCAAATGAATTTTTATATCATCCAACGCATATTTTATGTATGGAGTACAGCTTTGTTGCTGCTCACTGTGTGAACGAAGAAAGCTCTTATGATATACTTATGCGTGAAAACGTAGCAGAAATATTATATAATCTTCCTCTTTATTTGTGTAGGCACCACTACGTTACAAAACATGTTATATTTACCGATGCGAATCGTTCGAATAAATATTCTCTCGAAAACTCCTAGAGCCGACTCGTCATATAGCAGGACAGTAATCGTAAGTCCCCGATTTCCAGAGAACCTGTTATTGTGGCCTCATGTCTATATACACTCCACCTAGACCTCTCGAATAGGTCCTCGTTTCTTAATCTGTCAGCTGAGTTCGCCTCCAAACAGCGTCTCCTCACAAAAATAGCTTTGCTTTTCTTGTCTGAAATACTCTCGGGCCTCGCCACATTTCAAGCCGAGAGCGACAGCGATTAGAAAAACTGATTCTCTCAATTTTGGGATGTTCGTCGCACTATAACTCGAACTCTGGCTTTCCGACTCGACTATTGCGATCGCCAACTTGTCTTATTTGGGCCAAATCTCCTCTGGGCTTTTTTATATTTCCATGACCGTCTGAGTATTAACTACGCTTCGGATTCGCTAACTTTTTCTTTGATGAAAATATTTCTTCGGCCGAGAGTCCAGGTTATAGAGATGTCAAGTTGACCTGCCCACGAGCTAAAGAATTAAGAAATTTACAATTTGCCAAAGTTAGGGTCAACAACATTAAAACTCCATAATCTCCGACCCTTAACTGATTTTTTTTACATTCGAATTGCATATATTTTGAACAAAACTGTATATAATAGAGCAGTACATATGTATGTACATATGTCGTTAGTTGCTTCTCTTTTCATTAAAATTTATTACTTAGATTTTCAGATTTTCTATGTTCATTTGTCAAGCGATATATCTACGTGTACACACATAGTTAAACATATGCATATGTACATATGTATGTATACTGGTGTGTGTTTGTTGCGCTCCATATGACGAAGGAAGCAAGAATACGTTGCAGAGCAGCAGACAAATGAATTCGCTTTGTTTATATTTGTTGTAAAAATCGCCGTCGGTAATATTTTATTTTGTTTTAACTATAGATTTTTAAGGTTATAAAATATTTTATGGATTAAAGTTACTTATAGCCTAATCCTGTTAAATAAGAAATATATATGCCATTTACATATGTATAATATTTGCTGGTCATCCACATATGCATACATATTAATAATGTCTAGTTATAAAAAATAGTTTGGCACTTTAGCACTGCATATAAACATTTTTGTTGGAGAAAATGGACTGACAAATTTTACTGATTCCTCTGAGCCTAGTTTTGGAGGCGGAGAACTGCACGAAGCGGAATTAAAATGATCACTCTCAATGAAAATTGCTCAATAATCATCAGGACTTGGGGTCGAATCCACGACCCTCCGTGGCCACCGTTCTGTTATTTGAAACTTTAAATACTCGATCTTGAGTCGAGGGGTAAAGGGGAAAGCAAACAGTGCGGCATATGAGACAAGGCCGTCGCTTTGACCCAAACGCGATCGCCCCTAACATATATGATTCTAATTGGGCGTGAGAGAGACATAGCTCAATCGATTTGTCTCCTCATTCCGTTACATACTTATAACCGTTAGTTGAACAAAAGAAATAATCCGTGTACAAAAATATAAAGTATGCTTGGGAGAAAGAAGGGCTAAAATCTAAGAACCCCTTAAAATTCCTGGGCATAGGCATGGATGATGACAAAAACTGGTGGGTCGAGGCGGCATTTAGAGCTTTCGAGTAAAATGCTTTAGGTAAGGGTTAAATAAATAAATAACACCGAGTATCGCAGTCAATGGAACGATGAGATGTACGAGATATACGGCGATATTCACATTGTTCAGCGAATCAAGAGACAGTGGCTTCGCT